TACAACTGATATTCTGACGGATGTTGTATCTTTTCCACTCAAATGTCAGGGAGGTTGAAATCACCAGTTCAGTGACTGGCAGTTAGTTAGTTCAATGTATCATTGCAGTGTATAAACCGCAGAATCTCTGATTTATACACAACCATATGGGAGGCATCCATTTTGCTGCTCCGTTTTATGACAAAATCGCTTTGCAATGGACTTTTTGCCATCGCAAGAGCGATCGCTTTGCGATGGCCCCTATGGGGAAAATTCGCTTTGCGATGATCGCGGGGAAACGATCATCGCAAAGCCCCCATTTTCAACCAGCTGATCAGCGGTTCCAAAATGGCCACCGGCTAAACAAAATGGCCGCCGGCTGTGTTGCCTCGCTTTAGAGGCACCGAAAATGGCCGCCGCAATGGAGGATTTTCGCATAAGGTGAGTTTTGGAGCCCATAGGAATGCATTGAAGGGGTTTCAATGCGTTTCTATGGGCTTTTTAAAATCGCTTAGCAATGAAATCGCATAGCAGCGATTTTTGCTGCACGGATTAACATCGCTAAGCAAGGCACCACTGTATAGTTCATTTTCAGCACAGCTGAGCTTTCGACCATGTCTCCTAGAGGTGAGCTCTTGGTGGCAAACTATCATTTTATTTTATTTTGTTTTTAAAATGTTATCTGCCATCTTTCTGCCAAAAAATGGTGTTGAGGACAGCTTGCTGTAACAAACTAGAAGAAAAACACAGTAGTTTATTGGTCTAACTGTTTTTAAATTTGTAATGCTGGCCAGAGTTGACCTTTGGTCTAGATGGGTGGGGTAGAAATCCAATAAATAAATAAATAAATAAATAAATAATAAGCAGTAAAAGGGTCCTACAAATGATTCTATGAAACAAGGTAGTTGTTCTGTGCTTGGTGGTAAGCACTGCTTTTGAAATCCCTTTCCTGCCTTGCTTCTTAATAGTAGTCAGTTGGTCTTATTGTAGATTCCCTTTAGCTCAGCCTGCAGGAGAGCTAATCAGTGCCCCTTCCACCCTTCAGTACTACCGCATGTGTTCAAATACAGCAGTAAGGTAGCGAATGGGTTCCCTAAAGAGTTAGGGACCAGTTTTTTCCTCTTACTTAGCTCTATTACAGCTTGATGTGACTCTCTTGAGTCTATTTTTTAATTCAAAGTTTATCTGTTGTGGATAATTGAATTCAAGATAGTGGTGGTGGTCCTTCTGCTGTTATTCTCTGCACTTGAAGGAGTTCTGCCTTTCAGAAGAGGCATCAAATACTCCTGGAACTTCCTTTAGCTGGAGAAGGGGTTAACCCTACTTGCTGTATATGCCGCTTCCTGCCGGCTAGCAGGGATGTTATGGTGACTGCATTACTCTGCTGTTCTTTAGCCAGATTCTTGTTGGACTCTTTTTGTGGTGGTAGCTGATTTGGCAATTCGTCTTCTGCAATATTCTATAGGAATTACTGTGGATTTTTAATGTAGAGTAGAATATAAAATGTTCAAGCATCCTACACAATTTAGGCTTTCAGACATTTCTTTAATTATCTTGTTAGGTGAGGCGGCAAAATTTCCAGCAAAGGCCATCGTTATGCGAATTCATCGTTGAGTGAGGCACTCGTTAAGCGAGGCACCACTGTATTAGATTTCTGTGTGATCTTGTGTAGTTCCCTCTTCTCCCTTATTTGGATCTGTCTGGTGAGATAACTCAGGGATGTCTACATTTTTTAACACAAAGCCTTTATTCTTTGACATAAAATCTTTATTCCCTTCAGTAGTAACAAAAGATTTCGTCTCTTGCCTCAGGGACGTTGGGCGTCTTTCCTTCTCATTAAACCATAATAGATCCCCTTCTAACTGCATAGGGGTAGAACTCAAGTCTCTGTAACCCCACCTCAGGGGAACGCCCGATCCCTCAGGCATACTCGTAGTTGACCTTCTTGGGAAAACCCAGCCCACCTGTGGCTCCCATGGGGTTTTGCCTCATCCTCGGTCTGAATGGGCTCGTCCCACGGGTTTCCCAGGACAGTGTGGCCATGGTTTGTTCTCCCTTCTTTGTGCCTCACGTTGCGCCCACTCTCTTAGCTTTCTCCTTTGTTCCCTTTCTTCCGTCTCGCCCCAGTAAGGCAGCTTTCTATAGATCTTTCTCTTGCACTCCTTCTCAGTGCACTCCCTTGGGACTTTAAATTCCATCCACTCCCCTGTCCAGGGTCTTCCTTCACTATCTTCACGCAGTTCCTCCTTTCCTCCTCGTCCCTCACCCAGCACGCTTCTTCCTTCTCAGTTTCTAACTGTCCCCTTTCCTCTCCTCTCCCTTTCCCGCCGAAATGACGCCCTCTGGTGGTTCATTCTTTTCTTGTCTTTTCTGCCTCTGCTCTTCCAAACAATCCCGTTTGAGTTCTCCTCCAGGGTGGGCATCTGTCCCTCAATATCTTTAGCCGAGGAAGTAGATGGTACACTCTGAGGAGTACCCTTTACGGTACCATCATCCTCACAGCCAGTGCCAGTGTTATTTGCCTTAGAAACGGGGTAGAGGCAGCTTGTTAGAAGGTTCCTCATGGGTAACACATGCTAGAATTCTTGATTAAAAGATTGTTCAGATGTGAAGAAACATAATGCAGGAGTTGTTTTCCCACATAGTTTTTCTCTTCATTTTCCATGCATTGTATAGTATAGTTAGGGGTTTTAATCGGCAGTAGCTTCTTAAATGCTCTTATTTTGGCATGCCAAACCATTAGATGAAGCTGCTGTACTTTTATCATCTTTAACAAAAGATCCATTCTATGCCTGCACTTCGGTTTGGATTCTTCATTTGTTGTTGTTGTTGTTGTTGTTGTTTATACAACAAAACATACAGAATGACAATAATAGGACCTAATAAAACTAACATAAATAATAAAGACAACAAAACTAAGTATTCATGCTACATATATGGATCAGAGATTTTGCTATCGTCTGGTCATCTAATATCATCGAAGGGTTCTTATGAGCACTAATTCGCCATGACTATTTCTTCCCTTAAGTTCTTGTTTGTTTCTGGACCCAATTGTATATCAGCTTCCAGCTTTCCTTTACAAAGTATATGCTACTTTTGGATCAAGATGGTCACCATAACCTGTACTTACTTATAAGCCAGATGTCTCTTATAGGTTGCTTGGTGGTGTGTGGGTGTTTACAATGCCTGTCTAGGCTACCTGCCTTTTCTGTGCCCCAGTATTATTTTGGAACTCTGTGCATAAAACATTGCTGCACAGCAACTTCAAGCTCAACACAAACTGTACTACAGCAGTTCTTGGTGGATGGGCAACAATTATTGGCATCTTATCCTTTTTCTTAATTGTGATTCTGCTTCCAAATCTATTGAAGACCCTTTTCATTGTTATGTATTGGCTACTATAACCTTTTTGTACTGAAATGCCAAATCAAGAAAGCACAATTCCCCTCTTAAATTGATTTTAAATGGTCCTATGGCAAGGTCAATTGTAGGAGCAGGAGAAAGCATGATCGATTAGAGCAAATTCCAGAATCCCTTTTATAAAGTGGCACCAGAAACTGAGTACAGTAGTAGTGGTAAGGGAGAGCTTAGTGTTGTGATGACTAATCCAGTTTGGTTGATTCCCAGCGACCTTTCTGAGACTATTGATTGTCTCAGAGAGGTAGATGATTTATTTTTTTTAGGTAGGGATCAGAATTCTTACTAACAATTCCAGGAGTTTACTGTACAGTCATATGGTGCACATGCCTCAATCTCCCTTAACTTTACCTTGATGGACAACTTAAAATAGAAAAGGGATTTCATATCCTGTTATTTCTCTCACAGTTTAACACACATGACAAAATATCCTTGTAGCCAAAATTAAGCTGAAACAGCTATTGTTTGTAGCAGTGGTTTTTTAATGCAAGTTATTAAAGATAACTCCAGAGTCTTCAGTTTAGGTTCTTAGGGTGTTATCTAATTATTTTGATATCAATTGGCAGTTTCCTTAATTATGTATGTATGATAGTGTCAGAGAACAGTCTCATTGAACATATGATTGTAAAAAAGGGTATGGTCAAACTGAGGAGCTTTATTTCATAACTCTAAAAAGAAACAGTAGTTCCATGCTATTTAATTATTTTTGTGTGTTAGAATTTCAGGCATCACACCATTACCAGAGGAATAACCAAAGGGGTGAAGGAAGATTTCCGCTTGGCAATGGAACGCCAAGTGTCACGGTGTGGGGAAAACCTGATGATGGTGTTGCACAGATTTTGCATCAATGAAAAGATCTTATTTCTTCAGTCGCTGACATAAGTATCATGGGTTTAACAGTGTAAAATCTCATTAAGACGTTGGAGGCAGAGAAGAGAACAATGCTGTTCTTGTGATGTAGCATTAAAGTTCTCCTGATGTTGACTGACCTAACATCATTGCCCATTTTAGTACATCTTTGAACTGTACACTGTAAATCAAATAACTTCCATATGTATTTAAAAATATTTTTCCATTAAAGAGCATCTGTCTGACCAGAACCATTGCAAATAGAAAGTATGTGGCTTGGCCATAGTCCCTTCTTGGGAATCTTGAAATACAGAGAGAAATGTTGACCAGACGTTCAACATATTATGCAAAAACAGCAAGCAGCAAATTGGTAGGCTGGAGGCATATTAAATGCAGAGACCCAGAAAGGCAAGGCAAAGCTGATGCACAGGCTTAGTACCCATTGGCCTGATGGAACCAGTGCATTATCTGGAGGTGGGAGCTGTATCCCCTCCTGCCCGTCACTCTGCAGTAACACCTGCAGAGAACCTTACCCGCTCTCCTTCATTCTATTTTGCTACACTAAGAAGCAGATGATCAAAAAGGGAGTTTTTTAAAAAAATGTTTTTGGTTTTTAGCAATTCTTCAACACACTTACATGGCATGGAAATAGTAGATTGTTATTTCATGTGACTGGTTTTATATGTGACCAGCATGTAACAAATCCTTAAATGGAGTGATTGCCAGCTTGTGGAAGTAATTTGACACAATCCTTGGTTTAAGAGCTATTCAGTATGTTTATTCAGAAATGGAATAATACAGTGAATCTGTAGACAAAGTTTAAACAAAGCTGTGTTTCAGCTAAATGACAAATGAGTCACAAAATCTTAAATAGGCACGTCTCAGTTAAAGATGACCTGGAATGTAAACCAACCATATGATCCATTAAAAAACCTGTAACATGGTAGAGGTATTTCAGCCCCTCCCCCCCAAGTTCTTGACCTATTATTGAGTCAGTTAGATTTTCCAGAATATTCTCTTCCGGTAGAGTACATAGGCTATGAAGACCCATAGGGAGGTGGCAATTAGGTTCTGAGCCAAATGTTCAGTATGTGATTGTGGGTTCACCATCCGCCACTTAAAAGGAAAGTAATCTTCAAATATTTCATGCCCAACGTAGATGAGAATGGAGTTCATACCTTTTACAAAAAGAGACCAAAAATGCCATTAAGAATACAGTCATATGTTACAGCCATACTATACTGTATAATGGAATCTGCAAGGCTGAAGGCTACTATTACTAATGCCTCAGAGGCAAAAAAAAAAGTCAGGAGAAGACTAATGGGAGGAATGGAACAACAGAGAGCAGTGATCAGAAAGAACAAGAGGAAGTGACTGATGCCATCACAGAAACCTGAGCATGGTGACACATGAAAGGAAAAAGTAATACGTAGGTAAGGGGTAGAAAAAGAGAAAGAGGGTTAGCAGAAAGGGTTAAAAAGAAAGCATTGGGTAAAAGATGGTAGGTAAAAGTTAACAGTGCAGGCCTGAATTAATAAAAATGTAGAAGGGCTCTTTGGTGTCATTAAAGCTATGCATTTTAATTTAAAGGGATATTTGTATAGACTTCCTTCTGATTTTATCTTAATGTTTGAGTGCTGACAAAGAAGTTACATGAAAAGGTTTAGCCTTATATTAGAACAAGAGAAACTCAGGTTTCTCTTGGGCTAATATAATAAGGACTTCATGGAAAGGCATAGAATCTAGTCTGTGGACCTGCTTGTCTTCCATACAAGGCTACCAATGGGTCCTGCAACCCAGCTAAATTAAATGGCTTCCGCTGGGCTTTCAAGATGCTCTCTGTTGATCCCAGTATTCGTAGTTCTGCTGCACATAATCCTTTCAAAGGATCTCTTTTATATCTTACCGTATTTGCCGGCGTACAAGGCGATCGGCCGTATAAGACGACCCCACCAACAGGAAGAGCCTGGGCAGGCGGAGGCAGGAGGAGGAGGAGGGGAAGCGGGGGGTTGCGGGTGAGCGAGTGCGCTGGCTCAGCAGCGAGAGGGCGAGGAAGAGGGCAAGAGGCTGAGCGGGCAGCGGCAGGAGGAGGGGGAAGAAGAGGGGAAACGGGCAAGCGAGCGCGCAGCTGGCTCAGCGGCGCGGGGAAACGGGTGGGTGGCGGGCGAGTGAACACGCCGCTGGCTCAGCGGCACTCTCTGGCCGCTCAGGCATGGCAGCGAGAGGGCGAGGAAGAGGGGAAGAGGCTGAGCCGGCAGCGGCAGGAGGGGGGGGAGGGAGAAGAGGGAAAACGGGCAGGTGGCGGGCGAGCGAGCATGCAGCTGGCTCAGCGGCGCGCTCTAGCTGCTCAGGCATGGCAGCGAGAGGGCGAGGAAGAGGCTGAGCAGGCAGCGGCAGGAGGAGGAAAAGGGAAACAGGCGGGCGGCGGGCAAGCGCGCAG